ATCAACAAAAACAGTTTCAAAAGATTTTCGTCCTTCCTCTTGTCTTGCTGAAAGAAATTGCCCAATAATTCAACATACTTTAAGCAACGTTGTCGAATTTGTAATATTCCACAGGTTAGGATAGAGTAAAACTTAGGCATTCAAACACAATGAAATTCCTTCTAATTGAAAAAAGGAAAAAATATGATCTGCCCTTAAATCAGAGATCTAATTTGTAAAAGTTGAGCTATTACATTGATTAGAAATTTTCACAACGAGAAACAATTACTTCATAGTGAAAACATGTTTCTTTCCTAAAAGTACCTTCTGCATTAAAAATAAAATAACTTTTACCCTTGGAATTGAGCATCAGAATTCAAAATGTCGATTGTCTAAATGTTGGTGTCTCTAAAAAACATGGAGATATAGATTATAGACGACCTATCATAACGGTCATAAGGACCACTATTTAAGCGTTATAATCTGAACCATTTAGGATTTATACTCTGGATCATTTAGGCGTTAAATTCAGGGCTTCGGAACCCAAGTCGGAGCATGTTGGACTGGAAACAAAATATTGGGCTTAAAAAATTTGCATTTTATGTGAGGCAAAAAAGTATGTACGGCTAGAAATCAGTAAAGAAGAGACAGTAGTCGGGCGGGTCCGACAACACCACATTCTGCAACAAATAACCGTTTATATTTGAAATTTATGTGAATCAAATAATTCCAACTATAACCGTTGATTTCGTGTAACGACTTTAGAGCGGTTTACATTTGACAACCTATGGAAGCTATAATTTAATTGATTTCCACTAAATTTGGCGGAGGCATTTTTATGATGTATGTGACCTCACGTACCAGATATCATTGCTAAACGGTGTGTGTTTTACTTTCACTTTATTCTAGTTTCAATTCATCCATTTTGGGATGATTTGGTGCACAACAAACGTCAAATCGGGAGAAAACATATATCGGTGCTATATCCAAATCTGAACAGATCTCCTCAAAATTTGGCAATGATATTTCTAGGCCGTATGTTTGACTTTGATTGGACCTAAATTAAAATCTAGATTTTCAACAAATTTGTTGCACTCTCTTCTAGGTTCGATTCATCCATTCTGGAATGATTTGGTGCAATCCGGAGAAGATATATATAGGACCTTTATCCAAGTCTGAACCGATATCTTTAAAATTTGGCAATGATATTTCTAGGCCGTATCTGAAATCGTATACCGAATATCATTGTTCCCGAATGCAAATTACATCTTTGGGGGACTAAAATATCAAAACGGATGAAACCGATTCCAAATTTGGCATTCAATACTTCATGACATTCAAATTTGACATTCAATACTTCATGGCTAAATTTCCTAGTATATGTTAAAACCCATCGAATTTGGGTATATATATTACTAATTTCGTGCACAATAAACCTGAAATCGGACCAAGATATATATCAAAATTTGGAACGTTTGTGTGGCGTAGGCAAAAAAGAAAAGCGGAATAAAAATACGTCTTTGGGGGGTTAAAATACCCAAGCGGTTAAAACCGTTTCCAAAATTGACCTTCTTACTTCATGGCTAAATTTTGTAGTATATCTTAAAACTTATCGAATTTGGGTATATTTTACGTATTTCGTTCACAATAAACCTGAAATCGGACCAAGATATATATATCGAAATTTGGAACGATTTTGTGGCGTAGGCTATAAAAAACGGAATAAACAATTCCAATTATCACCCATAGAACAACGACTGGAATCTACGATAACTCCTTAAAAATAGTCTAATGAAGAGTATATATCCAAAACAAGACGTTTTCTGCCACCAATTGCCTAGAAATTGAAGCAGTCCAAGTGCTAAAATTCAATATTGTTTTAACATTTCGTAAAAAAAACTGTTCATAATTAATAGTTCATTAAAGTTTACAAAATATATATGCCCTCAATTCCACGTTGGTGGATAAAAAAAGAAAAGGGTGTCCAGTAAAAACGAGGTTTTCACTTAGAAATTACCTAAAAGGTTCTAATAAAATGTCGCTGGAGTGAAGTCTGCTCAAAAATGGTTTGACTGCGCTGATCTGGTTAAAAGAAAAAGTTACAAAGTTTGAATTGAAATGATTCTAGAAATGTTGTTTATCGAAAATTGTTTCCACTGCATAGACCTCATTATATACCTTAATTTATGTTTTAGCTTTATAGAGCACAACAAATAATAGTGTAACAGAAATTTCAAATAGAAGTGGAGTCTTCGGATTTTGCTGCTACACACACAAGAAGAATGGTGTCTTCATTTCAGAATTTATTTTCTTACAGATCTATACATGATTATGGATTGTTAAACAAAAATTGCTGGTATATGTGGCATACCAAAATATGGACCCGTAAAAGAATAAATTTGTCCCAAATTTTTTCATTGCTATGAACAGTATGAACCAAAGAACATATATTTAATTTAATTAGAAACCTTGCCTTGATTTGTACATCAATTCAGAACTACAAAAAAAAATAAATTTTGTATATCGAAATTTTACAATAACTCCAAGAATATCTAGCAGTATTCCAGAGAACAAAGACATTCAAATTTGATTGGGAACCACAAACTTGCACATGAGCCCCTTTGGGGTCCACAAAAGTAGATATAAACCTTTTAAGAAAAAAAATGGGTAAATCATGTGCGAAAGTTCAGCAATTAATGTTTGTTCCATTTGCTAGCTTAAGATTAACAAGGTAGGGCAAATTATTATAACCTTTATAACTCATTGATATGATAGACGGATGGGAAATAGATAGACGGCAATAAAGTTTCCATTGGGAAAACAATTACACGACAAAAAAAAATACATTTTGCATTGAAATTTGTTTGGGAACCACAAACGTGCACATGACTACCTTGTAGTCCACAAAAGTAGATATGAATCTTTAAAAAAAAAAAAATGGGTAAATCATGTGCGAAAGTTCAGCAATTAATGGTTGTCTCATCTGCTAGGCAAAGATTAACAAGGTAAGGAAATTTGTTAGAGCCCTTATAACTCATTGATATGATAGGGAAATAAGTAGACGACAATAAAATTTCCATTGGGAAAACAATTTTGAAAAGAAAAAGTTGAAGACAATTAAGTTCCAATATTTTCTCTGCAAGTATCCAATTCGATCTATAAACGTGGCCAGTGAAAGCTTTTCCATTAATAGAAAAGTTCATATTTGTTTCAAAGAATCAATGTATTGACGATTTTTTGCCAAATAGAAGTTTTTTCTATGCCGCATGCACGTGTAAGTTTTTCTTTTTTAGAATATACCCAAAAAATAAATGAAAATAATTACAATTACAAGTGTGAGTATACCGAATAGTGTTGAAATTAGAAGAAATTCAATATAATCAAAATAATTTTTACAATTCAACGAACATGTAATAAAAACGTTGTTAAAGTTGCTGATGATAATGGCCGAGTTGAGACAAATTGTGATATTGATGATGCAATTGTTGTTGCTGTTGATGTTGATGCTGATGTTGCTGTTGATGAGGGGCGTGATGATGATGGTGATGATAATGATGTGGCTGATACGTTGGCGGCGGTGGTGGTGGTATTTGTTGGCCATGAGTGGCCATAATTAGATTTACAGCGGGCGGAGCCGTATGTGGAACTAATGGCGGTACAAATGATGCTGATGATGATGATGACGATGGTGTAGAAGATGATGATGACGCCGATGCGGATGCAGATGATGAAGAAGAAGCGGCTGCTTGTTGTGTTGCAGCAGTTGATGGTAGTGGCAATGTCGAAGATGTAGAAGAAGCTGTGCCAGCAGCATTATTTGGATTATTTGTTGAGGTTGTTGAATTTTGAATGTGGTGATGATGATTGAAATTATTGTGATATTGTTGATGATGTTGTGTTTGCTGTTGTTGTTGTTGTTGATTATAAGTTCGTAACTCTATTGCTATGGTATTGCCATTACCACCATTGAAAACTGCACAACCATTGGATCCTGCAACTCTTCCTGCACTAGCTCCACCAACAGCGCCTCCACTTCCAACAGCATTTGGGGCATTTACAAAATTCATTGATTGTTGTTGTGGTTGTGTATACAAGTGGTTGTTGTTAGCTTTTGTTGTAGTTGTTATCGTTGTTGTTGCAGTACCAGCTGCATTTGATTGTGTTATACAGGATGTTGTTGTATTGGCAGCCATTAGCACAATAGATTGTGGTGGCGGCTGCTGTGATGTTGGCGGAGGAGGAGGTGGTGGTGGAGGTGGCGGTATACTTGGTCTGGATGCTGTCATGGTAGCAGAGGATGATGAGGAAGGATGATGTTGCATATGATGTTGTTGTTGGTGATGATACGTAACAACGGGAATCGCTGGTCTATGCATTTCCGACGAATTGTACATTAACGGATTTTGTTGTTGGCCCATTAATGGTGGCTTTTGCTGGGATTGAGACTGATGTTGCTGCTGTTGTTGCTGCAAATACATGTTTTGTTCATAATAACCTTGATATTGCTTTGATTGCTGCTGTTGCTGGTGTTGGGATTGATAATAGCTTTGAATTTGATAATGCTGCTCAAACTGCTGTTGCAACTGCAGTTGCATTTGCTGATGATGATATGCATCCGACAGCATTGTATTGCTATCAACAATGCCAGCTACACTTACGCTAGCGGCACCCTCAATTACCTGGTGTTGTGTTGGCATTGTTACATTATTCGACGACGAGGCAACAGCTGAATCTGATTTTGGGCCACCATTACCACTGCCTCCATAGCCCAATGAAAAACTTGTCGAAGAGGTCAACGATGATGCAGCCGATGTTGTTGTGGGTGTCGTGGACAGTGTCGAAGACACCGATGTTGTCGATAGCGGTGAATTCAAATTACGCACAGCTAAAGTTTCATTAGCGACAAGACTATTTTTACTACTGGATGGACCATCATAGAGGGGAGGTGGTGCACCTGCTGTTGTAGTGGTGCTTGTACCACCAATGTTGCCAATATTATTTAATCCATTAGAACTTGTGGACGCTCCTGTTGTATTTATGTTGCTATTGCTTGTTGCAGCCGCTGCTGCGGCTACTGATACGGACGCTTGGACAGATGTTGCTGCCAGTGTTGTTGTTGATGAAGAAGATTGTTGTGTTGATGTGGTCATACTATGCGAATCAAGTCTTTGTCATTTGGCATTACTTTGAAGGGCAGCATTTATTTGTGTCCACAGCTCCTTTTTACAAGATTTTGATCTGTTGAAATAGAAACAACATTTATTTATGACAGAATGGTCGGAAAAGCATTCCCCAAAGTTATGGGCGAAAAGTAGTAACCTCACCTTTTAATGGATTGTAACCAGTCCTTGAATTGTGCACTACCCTCTGGTGTAATTTGGAAAGCTGCACGAGCTGCCACAATTATGCTGGCAAAGTCCTCATAATCCGCTGGTGTTAAATGATACAACTTTTGATGTATACATTGGATATACCTGCAGAAAAAAATTTAATTATTTTCAAATCCGAAAAATCCTCATCTATTTACTTACATTTGTTGGCATTTTTGTACCAATGGCGTTAGAGCCGATCTCAAATGTTGCATGACCAATTGATGATTGTTGCGTCCCAAATAATGAGCCGATTCTATGGCCACATCGTGTAAGACGAATGGACTTACTATTGAATTGACGGCACAAACGCAGTACTGATGTAAATACTGGGAGCCAAGCTTCTTTGAAATTCTCAATAGCCATTTTACATCTTCACCGTAGGGAGGATTGCGTGCATACTTGGCCTGAGGGCGATCATCGTGAACGCGCCTTGCCAATGTTTCCATAGCTAACATGCCAACATTATAGGCGGCCAAGAGGTAACGTAATTGGGCGGGTCTACGATAAAAAACGAGAAAATTCACTTAATGTTGTTTTGCCCAAATCTAAAAGGGAATCGGTACTCACGTAAACTGGTGTGGGTGTCTTTGACGGTTGGCACCCTGAGGCGGTGGAGCCATTTGCTGATGATGTCCCCCTCCATGACCGGCCATATTGTGCGGCGGTGGTTGATGATGTGGAGCTTGTTGTTGTGGCGGAGGTTGCTGTTGGGGAACCTGTACAAAGGGATATACTGCTCCTTGCTGTTGATTTGCTCTCATTTGATGCATTGCGGCCATTTGGTGAGCAGCTGCTGCTTGCTGTGCTGCAGCTTGGGCCGGATGCTGTCCATTAGGTGGAGGAGCCTGTTGACCGTAGTAAACAGCAGCAGCTGCTGCTGCGGCCGCCTGCATACCTGGAGGTGGTTGGGCCATTTGTGGTGGTCCATTTGGCGGGACGGAGGGACCTTGTGGTGGTGGTTGTGGCACAAATGACGATGGTGGTCCACACTGCATTGTGGCCGCTTGATAGGCTGCTTGAGGCGTCATCTGACCAAATACTCCAGCATTTTGTGCCTGATGTACATACGGAGACTGTTGGGGTGGAACCCCAGCATTCGGTGGCGGTGCTGTGGGATTAACAGACTGTTGTTGGGGCGGTGGTAGATAACCCGGATACCCTTGGGGCGGTGGTCCTGGAGGTGGTCCTTGCGGAACATACATGGGAATTTGATTGGTCGGATATGGCAGATTGTGATGATACATTCCCTGACAAAAGCCATAGGCATTATAGGGTGCCATTCCCACGGGAGCCATTGCTGGCACTTGTTGTTGGAAAGCTGGAGGAGCAGACGTCACAACAACCGGTCCTCCTGGTTGTCCAGGTTGACCACCAGGCGGTACGGGCGGTCCACCCTGTAATGGAGGACCAACCATAGCTTGCTGATTAGCAGCCGCCGCCGCAGCTGCTGCTTGTTGTTGCATCTGCATTTCATGATGCTGATGAGATTCTATGAGTGCCGATAGGCTCACAGCTGCAGAATGATCCAAGTGATCATCGTGTTGGTCATGCTCGCCACCACCATTGTTGGGGGTGTTACGCATGTACAACTCATACCAATAACGGGCAACCTGAAACAGCACCTCGGGATAAACTCCACCACCTTTTGCAGCATTTTCCACCGTAATGCAAGCCCTCTCCAACATATAATCGCTTTGTTCCTTACATTGAAGTATGGCTCTCTGGATTTCATTGGGATTGAGGGCGGCGGCGTGTGGCAAAACTGAAAGGGCCAATTCTGCAGCTGGATAATTACTATCCCAACCTCTAGAGGCTCGATCAGCCATGTTGGCAGCTTCGGGCGGTGTCAAATGACCTTCCCACGTATCGATTAGAAAACTTATAGCCGGTGCACCAATTTCCATAGCCTGACCCAAAATCCATGAGACATGTGAGGAGTATGTCCGAGACAACCAATTGGGACTGACACAATTGTGCAAACCCAGGGCATACAGACCCAATTGGAAGGCGCACATATGTAGACCTCTGTGTGGACCATGATGATTGTGATTGGCCGTGGCTTGAGTAAACAATGATGTCGAACTATTCCCTCCGGCTTTGACCAAAACTGTTTTCGCCAATTCAAACATGAAATGAGCACTGGCCTCAGAGGGTTGATTCGGTATTGAGGGATATGCTCGTTTGCCTTTGTATCGGGAGTCTTTTGCCCTTGTTGTGGTCTGTGTGGTTTGTGAACCCATGGTCGGCACATTGCTTGGCATACCTTGATTGTTTTGTTGGGATGTCGCCATTAGAGAAGAATTCGCTGGAGATGAAATATTCAAACCAGCCATATTAACATCCAGTTCTGCACTTGTGGAACTTGTTGGTCGACTATTGCCTCCGACAGAAGCATAATCGGCATGATACAAATCCATATTTCCACCACCAATATTATTTCCAGAACCACCAGCCATGACTGCCGCATTGTTGCCGTGTCGATTATTGTAATCGCCACTCTCACCATGCCTATTGACCGAATTGTTGGGAGTTCTAACGGGTGGATTGTTGGAATAGTATGCCGGTAATAGTGGTGTCTTCAGCAACGTGTGTATTTCCCGATCCAATAATTTCTCCATAATTTTGGCAATTTTATGTGGGTCATCTTTATAGAAATACAGCAGTGTTAAGGCCAGTTCACCCCGCTGGCGTCGAGTACCCTCACATAACAGAGGATGTTCTGCTTCGGACACATTTGCCTTTAAGCCCAGTGCAGCCACAGCAGCTTCAAAGCCCAGATTTTCATCTGTTATGGGCCTATAGATGCTCATGCTGCGTATTCGTTGATCTTTCATGGATACGGATGGCATTACCAGGGCATCAAAGATGTATGAAGCCAAATTGATGGGCAACAAAGCCTCACCTCGTGACTTCATAGTGCCATTGCGCAGACGTTCTGCGCGTGCTCGTATTACCTCCAATTCTGGTTCGTCAATAGGTATTTTCTTCAAGAGCGTCAATATGTCAGCCTCCTGGTTGGCTAATTTAACCTCCAATGGCTTAGTGCTTGCCGGCGGACGAGCCATTTCCAAAGCAAAAATACAAATACGAAAACCAATATGATAATGTTCAGAATTTTCTGAAAGTACAGTGCAGAGGAAAGCACACTTGGTCAGCGTGGCGGAGGCCAATACGGTCAGATGATGAGAAATTGGATTGATATTCTTGTTTTTGCCTTTTCGTTTGGGAGCTGGTGGCATTTCCATCATCAAATTTGGAGGATTTTCCAACATTTCCTCAGCCAAGCGTACTGCCAATATACAGGCCTCCCGACCATGGCCATGGGCGTGTAAGCCCTCGGCACGGGCCAGGAGAATGTCCCACGCATCTTCGGATGGTCTGAGGTTTGAGAAAATATGTGGCTTCTCCGATGTGGTATTGGATGTAGATGTCGGAGGAAGTGGGCCCATATTCGTTGAAAGTGATGCCGACATAGCCTGTGCTGATGTCGAGGGTCCGGCATATAAAGACGATGCGGTAGTTGTTGGAGTCGTAGGATTCATCGATTTATTATTAAGCGGTGCACTGGTGGCCACTTCGTTTACCACTGTATTCGAGGGTGAAGGGGAGCTTGCATTGCCTTGAGCCTTCATTAGAGCCGCTCTGGCAGCAGCCGATGTACTTGGCACTGGCGTTAAATCTTCAGCGGAACGATGTTTGCTAACGTCTTTTGATACAAATTCATCACTTGATGACGAAAATGATTCATCTTTCGATATCCTTCTGGCATCTTGGATATTTAAAGATTTATCAGTTTCGAGTGCACCGGCACCACTTCCACTACAACCGGGCGCTTCAGAACCCAACGCAATCAACAATGAAGATGAAGAAGAGTTCGATGAAGAGGAAGATGAAGTTGAAGAATCTGATGAAGATTGCGATGCAAGTGTGGCAACAATGGCTTTATTCGTAGGTGTTGTAGGCAAAGAGAAACCCGACATTTTGTTTCCTTCATCGGCCACATCCAAGGCGTCGGGAGACGAATCATTAAATGACTGCTGTGAATCCGAATGTGATATTGATTTAGAAGTCGATGGCTGTTGTTGCGGCATTGGAAATTTATTTGGATTTATACTCCGACCATTATCATTGTCAGATATGCATAAATTGTTGCTGCTACTGTCGCCACCAAAATCTTCATTTTCGCAGAAACCTTCACTGCTTGCACTTGAACGATTACCATCTCCACCACCCATGGTTGACAAGGGAATTCGCCGTGGTAAGCCTTGAACAACTGCTGCTGAAGCAGAAGCTGATGCTGCGGCAGACTGTGATGATGTGGAAGGCCTAGCGTCAACGGCCGATGACATATTGTTCCCTCCACTACCACTACGTTCTGCTAAATTACCCAAATTACTACTGTTAGCATTTCCCGAACTTGTTGACGCTCCAGATGCAATTCCGACTTTAAGACCACCCGAATTACCGTTTCCAGATGCTGACGGCTGGGGCTGCTGCGACCCTTCTATACCTTGATGTAGACGAGCATGAACACTGTCGCTTGAAGAATTACTTGAATTATTGCTAGAAGATATATAGAAACGTTCACGAAATGGCCGTTCCAAACGTTGCTTGAATGCACCATGCTGACCATGATCCGCCGACGAACTAATATAATTATAGTGTTTATTATTTGCCATCAAGGCCTGAGTAGCATTCAATTGTCCACCATTACTTTCGCACTTGTTTTCAGTGTGTTTGAAACATGTGAAGGGCGAATAATAAATTGGATTTGTCTCGTGAGTATGAGTTATTCCCGCAATCGGATACTCTTCCCAATCCAGATAGCATGCCTCTATGGCCGGCTTAAAACCCACAAACATTTCCGCATCTGACCTCATATTCTGCTGATGTTTATTGTTATACGATGACGGCATTATGCGACACTTAACCACACGATCCAAGATTTTCAAATGCCAAGCGGTAAATTGGGCATGTAGCATATCGCGTTCGTCTGGTGCCAAGCCTGGATTTAATGCTGCCAAACGCCATAAAACAACTATTTCATCGAATAACGAACTGCAGGCATGCTCGATGGCTTTTGAATTTGAATGCGTACTTGAGTGTTTACCGCCACTGTGACCATGTGAACCCATCATCAACGAGAGTTTTGTCTGATACCACCACAACAGCAGTTGGTCACATGCCATACATTGTTCCGTGATAATTTCCAATAATCGTACAGCATTGCGATCACATCGACGATACATTTCACGAACTATGGACAGGAGATTCCACATACCTTCCGGTTCACGGCCTCTTAACGGTCGCAGAAGAGAACTCCATTCTGTGGCAGCCGGTGGGGCGGAATTTGTTAAATAATTTACATCGCTGCAAGAGAACAAAAAAGAGTTAGTGTGTGATGGAGCTAAAGCATGTATTAACAAGTAAAAAAGTAACAGTCGGCCTTTCCGGCAGATGTACACCCCCAGCCTTGAGTTATGATTATTCAAACTGTTGACGCTTTATGGAGGAGGTTCCGAAGCAGTTGGCCAATAGTGACTAATTCGTATCTGAGCTAAGACTGATAAAAATATTACAACGTGCCAAATTTGGACTATATCGACTACTTCCTATACTTTATACGAGATATGTGCAGATTTAAAAAAAAAATGTGGAAATGTGCTTGAGGCTCCAGATATAGCGGACCGAAGTATTCCATTTTCATCCTCCATCTAATACAGATAATAATAATGATCCAGCGGTCCGGTGACTATATATGTCGATAGTCAAGCGGCACTGAAGGCCTTAAATTCCTTTACTATTAAGTCTATGGCTGTTTTGAACTGCAGGAAAGCCTTGGAAAACACTGGGTTGACAATAAAGCTCTGTTGGGTTCCCGGCCATTATAACATCCCAGGTAACGAGACTGCAGACGAATTGGCCAGGCTAGGATCCGAATCAACTACAATTGAAGTAGACAGCTCGGTTAAACCACCACTGTGCCATTTCCTACAGGTCATTCATAGACATTAATCTGAGAGAATCCAACAAAAATGGCTGAATGAAATGGGATGCACCATCTCCAAAAGAATCTGGCTCACACTCTCAGAGAAGAGAACAAGGTCGCTACTGTCATTGTCGAAACCTGATCTTAAACTTGTGGTGGGTATCATCAGAGGTCATTGTAAGGTGAGGGCTATGACCTCGAAATGGGACAGCGACGACATTGACTACTGTTGGATCTGTCAAGATGAAGATGAGATCGAGACAGTCGAACACTTGCTTTGCCACTGCCCAGCACTCATTATTGTGAGACACAGACTGGTGGGAGAACTAGTGTCAAATGATCTGTCTTCTTTTACTAACACTGACCCTATAGTAATCCTTCAATTAGACAGAAGATTCAAGTGGCTAAAGACGACTCGGCAAACTCCTCAGCCATAGATCACACTCTATAAATCTATGTCTTATCTTCACCTCTTCTATCAACCACTTCTTCCTCTTTTCTTAACATTCTTCTACGATGAACACAATGGACCTATAGGTCTCCGAGTTGAGAAATGTGGAAATGTGGGTGAGACAACAGATATAGGGGACCGAAGTATTAAATTTTTTTCCTCCATCTAATACAGATAAAAATTTGGTTGGTATGTGCAGAATTTGAAGGAAATCGCTGACTTGTTTCGTAATTTATGACAGATAAAAGTATTGAAAATTTAGACAATGAATTGATCTTCGGATGTGTGAAATTTGAAGAGAGTTAGATGCTTCTTCCGTTTCCTTGAATCATATGTGGGTGTGGTACCAGAAGAAATGGTCTGATCCCTACCATCTTTATAACAGATCTTGTGTTGATGGAAATATTGAAATGTACCAAGTCTGAAGGGAATCGGATTAATGGACTGACCGATATTATCCATTTTTGCACCTGGCTTAGAACTGACGTAAATATTAGGATTTGCAAAGTTGGATCAAAATCGGATAATTGCTTCTCTTTTCGTTGAGAAAAAAAAATATTTTTTTTTTTAAATTTCGACCTTTTGTAGGGGACTACCGATGTATTCTTTACACCAGACCAGAATTATGGAATATCGAAACAATAGGACAATTATTTGTTTGACAAATTGAAGAATATGCCTTGGGGATTTCAAAGAAAATAGATTTGACACCACCACACCACCACATGATCGCCCCCTCAACTGACCACCCAACATCCCATCAGGTCGCATGTGTAACTGGACTTTTCCACAATCCTGGGAGATTTCACTCCACAATAAAGTTTCGATAAAAACCGTATGAGATCTTGACTTATAAGATATGTCTTCGGTCCTACTTGATCTATGAATATATTCTCTTCTGGCACGGAAATTATAAGTCATAAACAGTACCTGAATATTTAATAAATCCACGTTCAATTTGTTACAGCGAGGTGTGTCTTTATTAAAGGAGATGCGGCTGTAGTTAAGACCTTACGCGAACTCTGACAGGAAGGTTTCCGAACCAAACCGGATACATTGCATCTAAGACCATCTAGCCGACAATCTCGAGAAGGAGAAGGCTTATTGACTGTGGTAGGCTTATTGACTGACCACTGTAGTAACAGATAACTAACATCAAAATAAGATAACAATGGTCCTAACTGCTGTAAATTATGTGAAGATGAAAAAGAGATAGAGACGCTTAAACGCCAGGAAGGAAGAGTTGGAACCCTACCAGATTACAAATTAGGAATCGTCTGAAGATTGCAAATATTAAAGGAAAGTTATTGACAAACCTCCCGCAACAAAATACAACGTTTTTGTGATATGCTGGCATTTCCCTATTTTTGAGTCTTCAACGCCATATATGTCTGATAAGCCGATTTACAAAGGGCAAATATATCGCAGAGAGAGAGAGAGAGAGAGAAAGGAAGAATTAATTGAAATATTATCCCCATTTTCTTACCTATAAACCATCGGTGCTGGCATAACAAATTTAATAAGAATACGTTTGATATTTTCATGTAAAGTCTTCTCATCCAAATACCAATTTGTTTGATCGTTTATCGATGCACCTGCTGTTGGATCGGGAGCTCCGCACACTGTATTTATAGCCGTCGGTTGTTCACTTAATAGCTCGTCTAGCAGACGCTGAGCTGTGGGCAGTATTTGTTGCGGCAATTCACTTATTAAATATTGGGCGAATTTTTGCAATTGATCACGTTGTAAACGGGTTAATGATTCAGAGACAGGAGCTCTTAAACACACCTCCAAAGCCTTGAATAATTAATTGAACAGGAAGAAAAGACCAAGAAAGGAAAAAAGGTAAGTATGGCAAAATATGAAAATTGCCATAATTAGGAATTCTGTTAAATTACAAACCACCGCCACCGCCATGCAACAGTGGCAGTGCATAGAAACGACAACAGCAACAATACAATAAACAACAACAACAACATCTTATGGTATTGCATGCCCTTTTGTTGTGGCATATTGTCGTGGCTGTCGTCTCGGTCATTTGTGGCAAACATAACTTTACTTACACAATGTATTCGATGTAAACAAACGGCCACAACGTGAGAACACCAATATGCACTTGAATTGCATGTGCAATTACATGACGATATACGTCTTCGATCGAAGGTAACGGCCACATTAAAATTCTGGCTAGGTGTTTGACACACTACCGTTGCGGAAAGGTGGAAACCTGCAAAGAATTGTAATTATGATAAGTGCTTATTGTTGTTGTTTGTATTTTTCTTTTTAAATGAAAAAAGGATGTGTGTTTGCCCGAAAGACTTACCTATTTGCAGGGGATCTTTGACTGCACCAGTTTTGAATAGTTGGTCACCGCGATTAAACTCATCGGATGAACTATTTGCTAAACAAGAATATAAACGAATATCTTCTTCATTATCCGGAAAACTCCAGAATGCAATGCGCAATTGCAACTGTTCGGGTACTGGTGGATAGACATGTTCCACCAATTCAAAGGGTATATACGAAGCAACACATTTTGCGGCCAATTCTGTAAGTGTTGGAACTTCTGAAAATAGAAGGAGGAGGAGGATAAGAATGATAAGTAAATATTTTGAATTATTAAATCAAAAGGTGGGAGAAGGCCAAAGATTATATTTGTTCTGAAATCATTTATTTACAAAAGTTTGTAATGTTCCTTATGTCAAAAATGAATTGCTACACCTGAGAAAAATGCCTATCTAAACAAAAAAGGGCATTGGAAGGACTTTGTTGTCAATGTATTCTCTTATTCTAAGCTGTCCGACCCTAGACAGTATGGTCACAAACTTTCCTCACTGGTATGCCCTTAAGTACCGACATAAAACTGTTAGTGCGAGGTAGGCATGTAAGCAAAATTAGAACAAACCACTTATAATGTATCAGTCGGATTTGCCGACAGATGTATACCCTCAACCCAAATTCGCTTATAAACATATTTTTGAACTTCAGTTATGACTATTGAAATTGTTGACCCTCTATGGAGTAGTTTCCGAAGGAATGGGCCAATATTGCCCATCTCGAAGTATTCAATTTCATACTTCACCTTAAATTTATTGATACCAGTGTGTCAAGTGATCGATTGAAGTCTGTGGGTTTCCGTATACTCAAATGAAATACAACGACCGTTTTTATATTAAATTAAGAATTCACAAACGTTTATTAAAATCAATTATACGAGCTTAAACTAGTACGCCTTGTCAGGTTGGCTTCGTATCTTCAACTCTTTACATTTTAAAAATTCAGGGTTGTATCCGGGTTGCATGTAATCGTATATTTTCACATGTATGCAACAAAAGGTATCTACTACTACTTTTAACTTGACAACTCGGCCTTTCCTGACCTGAAGTCGTCCTCGGCTTCATCTTCGCTTGAAACATCCAATTCGGGGGAACATTCACACCATTTCTTCAACTTGTCGGAACTGAATACGGAACAGAATTTCCTATTCGTGATGTTTATTCCAGGAATGTCCTCTATCAGGTACCTGTCGTTGCCCAATACTCGTGCTATTATGTATGGACCTTTGTATTTAGGTTCTAACTTCCGGGATTCACCTGTCGCTGGTGGTTCATTCTGTATAAGGATCAAGTCACCTTCCACATACAATTTCGGATTCGAATGCTTGCTGTCAAATCTTTTCTTCCATCGTTCTCGTTCGCTTTTGATGTTTTCTGCGGCCATGATACGTTTTTCGTTGATGGAAATTTCTTCGTTTTGTACATCATCTTGTACAGCTGCTAACAATCGGTTTTGTATTAAGTCGGTGGGCTTGTAATCGAAAATCAACTCATTCGGACTGTAACCTGTTGTCGAATTTTTGGTTGAATTGATTGACCATTGTAAAACGTGAAGTGCCGAGTCCCAATCCTTCGGTTCTTCAGTGGTAGTTCGTAAATAAGACAGGATAAGTTGATTGACCCTCTCAACTTGTCCATTGGCTCTTGGTGTACGAACGGCATTCTTAATGTGTTGAATATTGTTTCGATCGCAATATTCCTCAAACATTTTTGACGTAAAAGCTGTCCCACGGTCCGAAATTATTCTTCGAGGTAAACCAAAGTATCCACTAACCTCATTTAAAACGTTGATGACGGGCAATGTCTTCGTATTCCTTACAGCTTTAATAACCACAAATTTCGTAAAGGAATCGGCGATTGCCACTATATGTGTATGACCATGCTTGCTTCTTATAAACGGTCCCAAGTGATCAATATGTACTTGCCTAAATGGTAGCGGTTCGACATTACTAAAATGTAGAGCTCCTTCATGTTTACCACCTTTTGCCTTGTTGTAGCAACACTCTACACACGCTGCAATGTACTCCTTCATATATTTCCTCATGCGGGGGAACCAAAACGTTTGTTCGACTCGTGAGAGGCTTTTCTCCAACCCGTAATGGCCAATATCATCATGACAGTATTTAGCTATGCGCCATCGTATAGCCTTCGGTATGACCAATCGTAGTCCATTTTTCGTTTTCCGGTATAGTCGATGTTTTTCCAATAAGTATTCAGATTTTATCTGTTTCTCTTGCTCAGATTTCAATTCATTTCGCAGTACTCTCATAATATTCTTTATGTGGTCGTCGTTTAGCTGCATCGTGAGAATCCAATCATCGCTATCAATATTCATTATGAACCCTGCTGGTTCAATCTCCGTCTGTGGCTGATCCGGTGAACGGCTGAGAGCATCAACGTGAGCCATACGTGACCCTTGTCGGTGTACATACTCACAATCAAATTCAAGTAATTTCATCAGCCATCGTGCTACTCGAGGTTGTAATTCCTTCGTTGTCTTCACATTAGTAATTGCGGCACAATCAGTGACGATTCGGAATGGCTTTCCAAGTAAATATATACGGAAACGCTGCACCGTTTCAACCACAGCTAAAACTTCCAGCTCGTAACTGTGATATTTCGATTCCGTTTCAGAACAGTGGCGGCTAAAATAAAACACTGGTTGCCAATTACCATTACCATCGGACTGTAATAACACTCCTGCTAATCCGAGACTGCTAGCGTCCGTGTGCACCTCGTGATCTGCTTTCATATCGTAGATTGCTAAAACTGGTTCACTACACAAAATTTGGATTAAACTTCTGAATGCGTTTTCATGGTGTACGTCCCAACGAAATTTATTCTCTTCGCTCTTTCGTGTCAACATCGCAAGAGGTTTCGTAATGGCTGCATAATCCTTTACAAATTTTCGGAAGAAGTTAGTTAGGCCAAGGAATCGTCGTACTTCTGTTACATTCGTTGGTACCTTAAAATTTCTAATCGCTTTTACTTTTTCTTCTCCAGGTAAAATTCCGTCACGTGTAACTATGTGTCCCAAATAAGAAATCTTTTCGGCTAGGAACGAACATTTCGCCAATCGTAACGTGAGACCACATTTCTTAAGGATATCCAAAAATCTTTTTATTCGGTCCAGACCTTCATCGACTGTTTTACTGGGAATTATGACGTCATCCAGATACGCTAAAACTTCTCCTGGTTTCATAAAGCTTATAACTCGGTTCATCGTTGCCTGAAAAACTGCAGGTGCGTTTACCAAACCAAATGGCATCCGGTTGAATTCATAATGACCATCTGAAGTCACGAAAGCTGTGAACTTTTTCGATTCTTCCTCTACTTCAATTTGGTGGTAACCCATACGTAAGTCGAGTGTGGTGAAATAACGATTTCCGGCGAGTTGTGCAATCTGTTCATCCAGTACAGGCATAGGATGCGCTATACGTACGGTTATTCGATTCAACTGTCTATAATCTATACATAAACGGTGTTCACCATTTCTCTTCTCGACCAAAACAATTCCCGATGCATACGGAGAATTCGATTTCCTTATGATTTCGTTATCCAGTAAGTCTTTCACAATATTTGCCACAATAGGACGTTTGGCAAATGCTAGTCGATATGGCTTGCATCGTATTGGTTCTGGAGTAGTAACTTCGATTTCCATCTTCACTAAGTTACACTTACCCAATTCGCTTGACTTTTCTGAAAAACATTGTCGGTTTTCTTGAATGTTCAACTGCAACTTCTTATGCTCTTCAGATGTTAAGCCTTCGTTGATACTAATCGCATTTACGTTTTGCATCCAACACTCATCTCCTTCAATAATGGTGCGTCGACCTTTTTGGCATAAAACATCTCGACCTAAAAGAACATCATTCGGGATCATAGAATTTTCCACAACATAAAGGTTCACGTCGTAACTCGTCTCATCAATGTCAATTGGCACTTTAACCACCTTTGTGCACTCGTATTTGCCACCAGCAAAGCCATTTAAAACCATACTGCAATTTTCCGTTTCGCCAATTATCATTGCAAAACTTCGTCTGATCAGACTCCGATCACTTCCCGAATCAATAAATGCCTCAAACTCCTTGTCCTTTACTTTGACACGTTTACATAGTATTTCGTTGGACTTTACGCTGTCCCTTATATTGTTGACATTTGTGTTCAGGGTTTTTGTTGGACATTCACTTGCACCGTGTGAAGTCCGTTTGCATATCGTACATCTATTCTTCTTCTGTGGATCTGGGCAGTCTACGGCTTTGTGACCAGTATTACCACAATTAAAACATTTGAATTTATTCACTCTTTCATCGCTTTTCCTTTCTGGGGCAGTTCTATTTTCATTGCTACGTTTCGTCTTATTCGATATCGGGTTCAGCACTCTTCTTACCTCGTTATAACTACAGTATGCGTTGATGTCACTCAAAAGTTGATTACAGGTAATATACTCGTTAGATATTTTCTGCTTCAATCCTTGATCATTAATTCCGTTGACTATATGCCGTGCTATGGATGATTCATTTATATTGCCCCGTTTTCCAATAGCATACATTCTGTAATAATATTCCTGCGGCGTTTCGTCGAACTGCCGTTTTGTCTGTGCCATTCTAATGTGTACATCGGCTGCATTTACATTTTGAGGGAAATCTAAAAGAAATTTGTTAACAAACTGAGGCCAAGACAGAAATACCTCTTGCAGTGAGTCAACCCAATACTTGGCTGGGCCAGCCATTTTCTGTTGCACTGCAAATATAACTGATGCGTCGTCCCAGTTATAAGCTGTCTTCAATAATTCCACACGTCGCACGAATTGTGAAGGATTAATCGATTCTTCAGATGACGGATTAAACTCTGGCAAAAGTTGAATTATTTCCTTAACGTTCCCAAAGGGGTTGTGCTGAACATAACGTTGTGAAGGCTGCATAACTATTTCTGACTGCGGCGGCGCTGAATAGACACTTGTTGCAAATATCGGCGGTTGTAGATATGCGTTGTAGGGCTGCGTTGATTGAACATATCCATTGTTCGGCTGCGTGAACACTCCTGTCGGTGTTGCTGTTGTAAAATTCGAATGTGTCGTTATATGTGTTGGTACGTTGTAGCATGACGTCGCTACATTTTGCGTTGTATTTCGTGGAAGTTGAGCATGTCCGTGCAATGAAGGTGTAAACGTTGGTAAACCAGCAGAAGCACACGTGTGGACCGTTGGAATTGTTGACGTAGTCTGAAA